GTGACCTAAATTCAAAGAGTTTTGGCTTAAGTTTGAAGCACAACAAAGCGAGCCAAACCTTTCAACACCCACGGCAGACTCTACCCTCTCAAATCTGGAAAGACAGGGCTTGAAAAAACCTTCTGAAACCAATGTATGGCAGCAGAAGTTGGACACAGAATTGCGCAACAAAATCACATTTGATACAAACCCCACTAATGCACAAGCAGACATAAAACCTACAAGCTCATGCGAATATTGGCTGCGTGAGGTTGACCTTGTAAAATACACGGATGGGCAACCCTCTCATCCAGTATCACCTGACACAGGATCCCACAGCCGTTCCCCCCCTTCTCCAACACCCCTCATTCTCCCAGAAATTTACAAGGCACACATGGCTTGCATATATAATACGCAAGGCAAATGTGTTGGTATGGTACCTCCTAACCGCTTCCAAATCCTCTACAGGGCTTTTTATGGAGCCAAGCTTGCTGGCATGCACGAGAAAATGACACCACCTCCTGGCAGCTTTGCCACTGAGCTGCAAGGGCTTCTTATCCGCAAATCCATGCTTAAAAGAAAGCAATCTAGCAAGAAGATCAAAGACTCTTTTTCAAAAGCCCTTCCAACTCACATTCATACTTACTTTCAAAATTGGGCTTTGGTAACCCAGGAAAACATGGCCTCCCCACGAGACCACAACCCACAATACCAGAATTATTGGAGTGCGGACTCCAGAGATACTCTTTTTGGTGCCATGCATAATGCCTTCTCATCCAAATTCTTAGGCTTCTCAGTCTGCCATCCCATTTATGACGAGGGAATCATGACCCAAGCTTTGCAACATGCCATTTACTCTGCCATTCTCAACACAGAGGCCACTGCTACATTCATGTTCCTTCCGGCTTGGAATAAAAACATGATATCCAACCCCTACTCCAAACTTTTCAATGCCTACCCCCACCTTTGTTACGAACTTGGAACCATATCTCGCGAAAAACTTAGTTACAGCGCCCCTCAATCCTGCCCTAACCAAGAGGTACCTTTACCCAAGCATACCTGGGACCTTCGCATCTATGCTGTTTGGAACACTGCAGCTCGAGTTCATCTCAACAATCATAACAAAGACTGGCTGCAGGGCCTGAAAGGAGATTTGAAAGAAGCCACAGTGGAAGCTGACAAACGTCAGCAGCCACCCTGTCCTAAATCCCATGCATGCTCACATGCCAGGCTTCAATAAACTGGAACGCCTCCCTTTTGACAAACAACACGTCTCTAAACACCCTAGAAATTTACATTTGAGTACCCAAGATACAGACTTGGTGCCCAGCCAATCCAGAACTCCCCTAACTCACAAAGTTGCTGATTGGAGGACATGGGCATACATAGATGGCAGCTGCCTTGTCCGTAATGGAAAGCAAGAAATTGGAGCAGGCGTCTACTGCCCGTCCACTGATAGCAAGAACTTTGCAAACCCAAACAGTGCCGGGATTACTAAAACCATCACTAGAGCTGAATTAGCAGCAATTGCTGCTGCTATCATTACCAAATATGCAGATATTGCCAGAGGTGGGCGACGAAGGCCTGAAAAAGGGGTACTTTTGAAATGTTCACCGAGCATAGGCCCCATAGGTGGCAATCTTCAAATTTTGGTTCAAAATGTACTGCTCGCTCTGCCCTTACAAACGCACCCGAGCTTGAAACTTGCCAATGATGGGGCACCTTCCTAATTTGCCGTGGCGTGAACCCTACTTTTCACCACCCAAACTCCACATCTGACCAACCAGTGCACCAAATTGGGTGCTTTTTGGTGATTTGGGGTCCTTGTATGAAATAAATATCATTGCAAAAGAAATGGAATGAAAAGACCCAGTGGTTGGTGAGATACAGGATTTCAGCCATTTCCCTTAGAGAAATGGCAGCACAGGGGGTGCCAAAAAGGTGGAAAATCAACTTTCTCCAAATCGAGTTTTCAGCACACCAATTGATTCCTCTTCATAAAAGAAGCACCCCTGCGGTGTTTTGAAGGTAAAATAAGCTTTGGTTGGGGTGTGTGTCTCATTATGCGCAGGCTCAGTGCCAAAATTTGAACCAGGTTTGTGCCAGGACTCACTGGGGTGATCCGTTTGGCCCCAAACTTCATGAGCCATTTAGTTTTATTATTCAAACATGGTTGGCATAAAAAATTCACATGTTCAAGACTTTTGCTTTGTCGCCCACCTCTGAGATATTGCGTCAGACAGCCACAACTCTTTCAATCATATACGTAAACAGCTTCTCTATCCTGAAAGACATCTGAGGTATATCCAAGGAGACATCCTTAAAATGATTTCAACGCTCATTTGAGACTTCCATACCAAAATTCGAATTTACAAAGTGAAGTCCCATGCTGGCATCGCTGGAAATGAATGTGCAGATGCCATTGCAAAGCATCAGGCAAAGCAAGCCCAAAACTGTGTGGCAGACACCGAGATACCTGGTGCAAGTCCTGGTGGAAATCCGTTTACAAATATTTTCTGGATAGCCAAGGAAGAAAGAGTGCATGCTGCAGGCAGACCTACGGAGCCCCCACCTGCCCCCATGCTCACCTATCTCCCAAATCTTCAAGGTGCTCTCAAGTCCCACATGCATTCTAAGCACAAACTTGGATATGCCAATGCCAGAGCTGGTTACTACTCTTACTATCAAAACTTATTACCGCAAGTGGATAAGAAAATTAGCAATGCCTTCAGACATTTGCCCAACATTTCCATACCCATGAAGCGTACTATCCTACAGTGTCGCACAGGCACCCTCTACAATCAAAAACATGCAGTCCGTTTCAAAAGGTCTTCTGACCCAATGTGCCCTCTTCCAGGCTGCCATCACTTGGACAGCGCACTCCACATGCTCTCAGGCTGCCAGAACCATATCATCTCCAACATGAAAACTGAACGCCATAACATCGCAGGCAGAATGATTACAAAAGCACTCAGCAAAAGCCCTGTAGGAGCAGGCCTGGTCTACACAGACATTGGAAGCGATTTCAAACTTGCACAACATAAGCTGCAACTCCCTACACATGCCTCAAACAGAACTATACCTGCTCACTTTTTCCCTCGTAACCTTCAAGAAAGGAAAAAACTCAATACAAGTCGACCAGATGCTATTTTGATCACCCCTATTAATGCCAAGCCAACTTCTCACAATGTTTCTTCCATTCAAACACAACATCTTTTGCGCGGGTCCACGCGGAGAACCACCAAGATTAGGCGTGGACGGCAGCCCCATGAACTGTATGCAAATGAACGCCATGTGCACTTGATAGAAATCAAGTTCTGTGAAGACACAAGGCCTGAGCATCAGTTGAAAGCTGCAAAGCAGCAGCATGCAGACCTGTGTAAATTTATTCACGCTACAGTTGTTACAATTCACCCTATTCTCATGGGTGTTGGTGGTAGTATTTACACTGAGCACACCCTCAAGCAATTCAAACAACTAGGACTGGATCACCAGCGTGCCACTAAGCTTGCCCAACAACTTCATGCTCATTCTGTACAATATGCCCACAAACTAGTCACCACACGCCGCGCTATTGAAACCAAGAATACTTCCCACAGCCAGGTTCTAGAACCAGGTGCTCCTAGTAACCCTCCAGATCCACATTAGCATTCTCTTTTTCATACCCTGTGGTGGAGGGGGCACACGGCTTTTTTTTGAGCCAATGTGTCTCCTCTTCCTTAATTGATGTAGGGAGAGTTTCTCTGCCTACGTAGTTTTTCTTTCTTAGAGGTAAATGCCCATCTAGACGGATGTCGGCTGATAAGCTCCAAAGAAGAAGGCGCAAGTGAAAATTTTTCCTTCTTTCTCGGCTCCTTTATTTTCCCAAAATAATCAGTGCACATGGCATAGGCCAGGCGAGGGATGCGGGCCCATATTGCCACGCAACCAATGGATCAAAAAGATGTACACGCAACCAGTGGAGCGGATGTGCACCTTTAATCCCAGTAGAGCAAAAGGATGCGCGCCCTAAACCCAGTAGAGCAGAAGATGTGCACTTTGGACCCAGTTTAGAAGGCGTGCACTCTGAACCCAGTTAAGAAAAGAACTGCGCACGAACCCAGTTAAGGAAAAAGAAGTGACCTAGACCCAGAGGAGCAAAGAGATATGCACCCTAAACCCAGTAGAGCGAGAAGATATGCACCCAAAACCCAATCATGGTGGAGCAACCAGTGAAGCAAATAGAGCGGTCCTCCTATATTTCAGATACACGCCTAAAATGCTTCAAAAGGCAGGCTTGAGAATTTTCAGCCAGCAGGCTTCCACCTCCGACCAAAAGGAAAATATCCATTTCCTCTTTGGGTGTTGACCTTGGAGTGTTTAGCCTGGAGCCGAGAGACTGTGGTACAAGCCTTGCGCGGAGATTAAAGATCAAGTGTTGTTGTAGGTTACCGATTCCAACAGGGGCTGCACATGCAAGTGATGAATGTGTGGAGGTTGTGAGGAGGGGATTTGTGCAGGGAGAGTGCTGGCTGTGATTAGGTCTCCATACGTCTTGTGCGTTGGCAGCATGGAGTCGGCTGGTAAATTAGCTCAAAAGGGCTGGAGCCAAGAAACTGTGATACAAGCCTTGCACGGAGATTAAAAATCAAGTGTTATTGTAGGTTACCGTTCCCAACAGGGGTTGCACATGCAAGTGATGAATGTGTGGAGGTTGTGAGGAAGGGGGTTGTGTAGGGAGAGTGCTCGCCGTGATTAGGTCTCCACACACCTTGTGCATTGGCAGCATGGAGTCGCGGCTGGTAAATTAACTCAAAAGGGCTGGAGCCAAGAAACTGTGATACAAGCCTTGCACGGAGATAAAACATCCAGTGTAAAAGATTATCGTTCCCAACAGTAAGAGGGGTTGCACTATGCAGGAGATGAGTGTGTGGAGGGTGTGAGGAGGGAGTTTGTGCAGGGAGGGTGCTCGCAATGATTTGGTCTGCACACGACTTGTGCATAGGCAGCGAGGAGTCGGCGAGTAGCTCAAAAGGGCAGATCGCAACCTGCGCGATTCGAACGCGCGACCCTTTCGGGACTGGTTACATCGAAAAGTTTTCGAGACCAGCGCCTTAACCACTCGGCCAAGGTTGCCTTCGCTTTATTCACTTTGTAATTATATATAGAGAAAATATACTTATTTAATTGTTTACCATTCATGCGGCCCGTCCTCCTCGTACATCTTGGATATCATCATCAGGGGAAGTCCCCTGCCCTTGTGTTCAATGATGTCCTCTCCGCAAATACAAGCTGCTAACAGCTCTAGGATGACTTGACCTCCAGAAACCACTCACTGGAAACCACCATCACTTCTTGATTCCTCCCTCTCCTCAATGTCATCACCTTCAGAGTGCCGAGCATTATCTGCAGTCTTGCTCCATTGAGTGATCCAACCTCAGCTCTTGTTGGGTCTACTGCTGCTGCCTGCATTGCTTGGTGGCCTCGGCCATTCCTTCAGATAATGATTCATTACCAGTTTCAGCTACCAACCCTCATGAGATGAAAGAGACGCAGCGCCTGCAATACTTGAGAATGCCATGTTGCGTGTGACAGCGTTAATGCTTTACCTGCGTGCGTTGCTGAGCGCACAGCAGCATGCATTGCTGCATGCGTTACCGCATGCATGGCTGTGCGTTGCTGCATGTAGAAGTACAAGTCTACGCTGGACACAACCAGCGTATATTACCTGCCAGCTGTGCATACGCTATGGCCTACGGTGTGTTGCCTACATGCACTCCATGTCCTCTGCAGAGGAGGCAGTCTTCTTGTCTGTGATTGTGCTAGATGCACCTGCAAGTCATAGAACATGGGGATAATAAAAGTTTTTGTTTATTATGAAAATTCAAAGCACACGGTAACAACTTCGTATGCATGCGTACATGACTCAATATGGCACAGCTAGCTGTGCATACAAGGCAGAGATGGGGAAAAGGAAGTGTGTTTATTTTCTGTTTTGCAGGAGCCGGAGCATGCGCACACAAGTACACACCCACAAACACCTAAGCTGGCTGACCATTCAACCCAAACCAGAAATCCTGCGCAAATCTCACCTGCACCTTCCTTCCCTACAACATCTGCAGATGTTGCGATCTCTTTGTCTGTGGCGCTGCCAGCTGTGCATACAAGGCAGAGATGGGGAAAAGAAAGTGTGTTTATTTCCTGTTTTGCAGGAGCCGGAGCATGCACACACAAGTTCGCACCCACAAACACCTAGGCTGGCTGACCATTCAACCCTGACCAGAAATCCCATGCAAACCTCACCTGCACCTTCCTTCCCTGCGACGTCTGCAGGTGTTGCGGTCTCTTTGTCTGTGGCGCTGTTAGCTGTGCATACAAGGTAGGGATGGGGAAAAGAAAGTGTGTGTTTTTTTTTGTTTTGCAGGAGCCGGAGCATGTACACACAAGTTCGCACCCACAAACACCTAGCTGGGTAACCATTCAACTCAGAGTAGAAATCCCATGCAAACCTCACCTGCACCTTCCTTCCCTGCGACATCTGCAGGTGTTGCGGTCTCTTTGTCTGTGGCGCTGCCAGCTGTGCATACAAGGCAGAGATGGGGAAAAGAAAGTGTGTTTATTTTTGTTTTGCAAAAGCCGGAGCATGCACACACAAGTTCGCACCCACCAACACCTAGCTGGGTAACCATTCAACTCAGACCAGAAATCCCATGCAAACCTCACCTGTACCTTCCTTCCCCGCGACGTCTGCAGGTGTTGCGGTCTCTTTGTTTGTCGCGCTGCCAGCTGTGCATACAATTGTGGGCCCATCTTCATCGAAGGGGATCCTCTAGCTTCTCTTGCCTTGCTTCTTGCTTCCCCTGCACGCACATGCACAGCATCAGCAGATGTAAGTGATGCTAACCATACACTATCATGCTCAGTGCAGGGAGAATCCTGTGGAGGGAGGGGCATCACTCATTCTGCAGTCACGCAGTGAGCAGTTACCAATGCCACAAACCTGAAGGTGCCAGCTGTATGGCTGCTCCAATTGTGCTTTGGGTCCAGCGGGTAAAGGGGATTGAGGAGAGGGAGCAGCGGACAGGGAAGTCTGGCACGGTCAAACATTTGCGCAAGGGTCAATCGTAAAGCAAGGATGGCCTGAATATTATCTGTGAAATTCAATAATGTATTTACTGAAAGCATAGGTGCGAGCCTCATCAAAAACGCGCCAAGTGCTGCAAAACCGGAATTCCAGCATGCTGAGGCTCCACCCAATTCCTCCATACGTACAGCAGAGCCTTGTATGCATTCTTTCAATTGTCAGGTTGGTGTTGCCAGCAACTCACAGCTGCCTCTGCATGCAATTTTACATGGCACCAATTTTGTGCCTTGTAAAACACACTTCCTGCAAGCTCACTGGGCCTCAGCTCATAATTTCAAGTGCAAATGACTTCAGATGGAATATAAAGGTAAATCCTGCACCAAAATAGGCACTTCTGCAAGGGCCAAAACGCCCAAAATGAGCAATCCATACTCACGGGCCCCCGCATGCTCCACAGGCCCCCATGGAGCACCCCTAGACCCCCCGTACCGGGGGGGGGAGGTTGGGATTTAACAGGCGCCCCAGGCTCCATGCAACCTCATTCACAGCCTTTTTCATTTATGAAAAGTCATGCCTACTTGAAATTATGGGCTCAGGGTGCACCAGCTTGCAGAGAGGGTTGTTTTTGGTGCTAGAAAAGAGCAATGGGCGCCAGGCTTATCCAGGGATGGCTTTCCTCCACTCCTTACACTCAGGATCTGAAGAAGCACTCCCCAAAGGTATGGGGAGGGCTGGAAAGCACACCTCAGAAATGACCTGCCCTGCCTTGTCTAGAAGCTTCCCACACGGCCAGCGATGTATACACAGAAAAAATATTAATTGATTTTAGTTTATGGTGGCACAACAAGGGACTGCAGCTCTGGTAACCAGTACCTTTACTCGCCTCCAGCGGACCCCGGTCCCGCGCGGTCAGATGGTCTTAAGAGTAGCCTGGCATCTGTGGTGAAGGCTATGGTGGTTTGCAGGCGTCTGCAATGAATTTCTGCTGCATGTTGACTGCATGCAAGCAAACCTCTCTTTGCCATCATTGATGCATGCTGGACTCTCCTTCAACGAGAAGTGACTAACATGCATACAGCTATCCCATTGTGCAAGTGCAGGGCAGATAGATCAGCAGCAATGCAGCTCCCTTTGTGGTTCCTCCCCTCTCCTCCTCCCCTCTCAAGATTTCTGAGAAATTTTCTTTCTTCCCTTGCAGGAACGTGTTTTGCAAGTGTGCAGGTATTCGGTCCAGTGGTGCATGCAGGTGCAGTGATGAAGTTGGTGTGCAGTGGTGCGAGCCCGGTTGACCAGACGTCAGTGCAAGAGCACTTCGACACTTGAACACTTAGTCATCCGCAGGCGGAGGTCACTGCAAGTTGTACAAAGAATGCAGTAGTTTGCAGCGTTACCTGCGTGGGGCCTGCCAGGGGTGCCGCGCGGGAGGGTTGAGGACCCCACCGCCAAAATTTGCCTTCCCTCAACCCACGGAGGACCACCAGAACTAGCCGCATGAGGCAACCCTATGAACATAATGCAAACGAGCGCCATGTGCACCTAATAAAAATCAAGTTCTGTGAAGACACAAGACCAGAGCATCAGTTGAACGCGGCAAAGCAGCAGCATCCAAACCTTCGTAAACTTATTAACTCTAAAGCCGCTGCAATTCACCCTGTTCTCCTGGGCATAGGTGGAACTATTTACACAGAGCATACCGTGAAGTCAGGTCAGGCATCCAGGTTTGAGTTTTGCCACAGAGGAACCACCCAAATCTGAGTATGGAGGACCTTTTATTAATCTTTCTGATTAACTCTGCAAACTCAGTTTGTGCCATGGGGGGGGCCAGGGTGGGGGGCCAGAAATCAGGCAAAATCCATGCCAGAATGGGGTCCTCAGGAAGCCCCTCCCCGGCTTACCTGACCAGCAGCGATGGCTAGGCATTTCATCAGGAGCACATTCCGGGAGGTCCGGGGTGCAGGGGCGGGGGTCCAGAAAATCGCACTCCGGTTTTGGCATGGAAATGGCGAGAAGCAAAGGCTTTTTGTACACTGGAGCACCTACCTGGTTTTCAAAGGTTGGCGGGCTGGAAATGAAAAGGAGATGGCTTTTGAAATTTCATGACAGCTGGCGATTTGACCGAGCCCCAGGGAAGCGCAAACTCACTCCTGGGCCCCCAAACTTTGTAAAGCATGCTTGAGTAACATACTGAACAAGACTGCATACTCAGGTTGTGGCCAAGCACAGCGCTTGGCTGGCTCCCAGTTTTGCACCAGTTTTGCCTGGCAGATGCGCTCATGCTGTAAGTACTTTGGTACCAAAATTCACCCTCCCATTTTTTACTCAGGATAGATCAAATTTGACCCAAAACCTACCTGGGAACCAAAATATGGGGCAGATTTGGGTCATAGCATGTGTTTTGGCACCCATTTCACTGGGAACGTCCGATTTTGGCCTGAAATGCCTCAAAAAGTGCCTCTGGCTCACCTTCAACGCCTCATCCCCTATTTTTTACATGCAGAATTGTCAAAAACATCAATCCTGACTACTTTGCATACTCGGTTTGCTTGATTTCCTTCGGGGCAAGAACTCCTCATTTTTTGGCATAGCATGCCTGGGATGACCTGAAGCAATTCAAACAACTAGGATTGGATCACCAGTGTGCCACAAAGCTTGCTCAACAACTCCATGCCCATTCTGTCCAATATGCCCACAAACCACCTTCCACATGTCGTGCTGTCGAAAACAAAAATACTTCCCACGGCCAGGTTCTAGAGCCAGGTGCTTCCAGTAACCTTTTAGATCCACACTAGGTTTCTCATTTTATACCTTGTGGTGGAGGGGGCACATGGCTCTTTTTGAGCCAAAGTGTCTTCTTTTCCTCAATTGATGCAGGGAGAGTTTCTCTGCCTACGTACCTTTTTTTTGGAGGGCGTGTTTACAATGGCGGGTAAAGGTTGAAGGTTAATGAAATTAATTCGAGTGAAACTGTGTTTGCATTTACATTACCTGGGTTAACCACCTGGTTTAATATCGGAATGTGGGTGAAGAAAACTAGTTTTCTTAAACGACCTCC